TCTATTTGGTCATTGTTATAAAGAGCGATGAGGATAAAGCTAAAGTGATAAACCAGCTCCAAACAGCAGGCATTGTCGACACCGACTCATCATCATCATCATCACCCTTGCCATCTACAACCGGTAGCTCAAGTGATATTAGCAATGCGCCGTCATCGCAGCTGTCCGGCATACTGGACGAGTCTGCCAGCAACTCGCTTTCAAGCCTAAGGAGCAAGGCCGCCTTGTTACCCAAAACCAACGTGCTGTTTTGCCAAACCGAAGAGGGCAAAAGCCATTTGGTGCGCCATTTATTAACGCTGACTGGACCATGCAAACTCCAAACGAATACGCTGTGGAAAACTCAATACGCCGGCTATATTGACACCAACAGAGACGTTGCTTATCACTTGGCTCCCATTCTACGCCGTGTTGTGCTCGTTGAAAATGACAACGACCAGCGGACCATTGATCACGGCGAAGTTCCTGGCTGCCTAACTGCCTACTCGGGCAACACTAAATCTGAACCGTCATCGTCAACTGCACCAGGTGCTAGTCAGGCGACAAAATCTATCGAACGAGTCAAGGATATCACCGAGTCAACTCTCTACCTCTGAACGCAAGAGCAGCTTCCACTTGCTTTGACTTGATACCTTTCGCTTGAAAAGAGCGGTAATTTTTTTTAGAACAGGATGGAGTAGAATAGAAAGAATGTAAGAGTAGCGATAAAGGGAGGGCTTTTAAGAGGCTCTAGTTATTTTGAAGTAGTGACTGGTATGCCTGGTCAAAGGCATTTCTTTCAGAATCGCTTGGGAGATTCTTAGAGGCACGCCAAAAGACATTGGCAGCCAAATCCAGCTTCTTGCTATCAATCATAAACTTGATATACCTCAACCAGGGCTCCTGATCAGACTCATCCAAACGACAAGCCAGCTCATACAGGCTGACCTTGGGTTTAAAGTCTGACTCGATGTCCAAACACTTGCTGTAAAAGCTAAGCGTAGGGAATGCATGTCTGATGACATTCTGGTAAGCGCGGCGAACAGCCTCCAGATTCTTGCTATCCTTATCAATGGCGATTTTCTGGCCCAGATCATCGTCATTATCGCCCAGCTGGCTAATGTTGATGTCCTTGGCGTTGGCTAGCTGGATGTTGGCGGGCAGCCTGTATGCCCAATTAACAAACCTGATCTGCAGCCAAGATTTCAGCTCCTCGCCAGAAGACAGCTGTGCAACACGAACAAGCGCTGCTAGATATTTGGCTTGAACATAATCAGCAACTACATCTCCAATAACGAATCGCTGTTCAACCCAGTCAAACCACAAGTCCCAGATCTTCTGGGAGCCCAAGTTATGGCTGATGGCTTCGTTATCGACCAATTTTTCAAGCCTCACGACATCCCTAATGTTAGAAGTGTCCAACAAAAGAGACAAGCGACGATACCAAAGGTCCTCGTTTTGAGGGAACCTCTTTGTAGCATCAGCCAGCCAGTTCAGCAACGCCTCCTTATTGTCGTCGCTTAGGACATCAGCATATTGCAGGGCAAGTCTGGGAGTAAGCCTTTTATCCTTGACTTCAACAACCATCGCAAATGCGCGCTTAATCAGGGCATTAAAGTAAGCGTAGAGACTCTGCATCTCGTCCGAGGTCTGAGCAACATCCCGCCACTGAGTCAAAAACTCGGCATATTTCGACCACATCTCCTTTGTATCCAAATCAGCTAAAGCCTGCTTGTAGTTCTCAACTGCCAGGCGAAGATGGTCAACAAACTCTGGTGAAGTAACATTGGCATTAGCCAGGTGGGCAACACACAAATACGCGCGAGCCTCGACATCATCTGCAAAATCCTGCTTAATGGACTCCAACACGCGCTGTCTGCCTTCATCCGTATTAGGGAACTGCGTGTAAATAGCAGCAAACTGCTCGCGGAAATCCAGGTCGTTAGGAACATTCTGGATAGCCTGCTCATAGATAATTCTTGCAACAGCGCCTTGCAAAACAGGGTTACTCTCGGTGGCCATTTTGGAGCGCTGCTCATCGCTTAGGTTAGCCCCCTTTGGTTTAGCGTACTTGGCCATGGCAGACTCCTCAAACCGTTCTCTGACACTAAGAGGCCCCAAGCCAGCGTCCTTCTCTTCCTGCAGAGTAGGTATCTGAATGACGTTATCATCCTGCGCCCCCTCCTCTCCCATTTCTTGGTCGCTGTTGTCGTTGTCGTTGTCGATACCCAGGATACGTCTACGAGCTTTAATCTTTTCGATGAAGAGCAGCTCCAGTCTAAAGTACTCCAGCCACAGCTTCTTCTCCTTGGGGTTCAGCCTTAGAGCTCGTTGAAGCAGCAGTCTGGCAGCACTACCATTACCATTAACCTCAAACTCGAACGAGGCCGCCATCAGCCACAGTCTGACTTCAAACGGGTGGGCTTGGATACCCCTCACATACAGCTTGCTCAATAGCCTAGTATTAGCCTCTCCGCTTTCCTTGCTAATCCTGCCTTTAACGTACTCGATATACTGGATCCACAGATTCAAGTCCTTAGAATGCCTAACAAGAGCACGCTCAAACAGCGACAGGACGCGCTGCTCGATAGAATAGTCGCTTATAGTTGTTTTGCCCCTAATACCCAGACGCTGTTTGCGCTTTTTACGCAACAAATCCACGTTGATTTCGTATTCTATATAGCGCAGGAAATCGGCTCTGGCTACCTGACGCCTCTTCAGCGAGTATTCAAATTTGGTGCGTTTTTTGACAATGGCCTTCAATTCCACTTTGGTGAATAGCTTCTTCCTCTCCAGATCCTCCAACTCTGGGACCATCTGCTCCAGATGGTACTGAACTGCTTCTGCCATGATTTGTGACAAGTGTTATGAAACTCAAATAAATGGAATAGCTTTTGGAAGAGGAAAAAAGCGCAGATCAAGGCATCGAAAAACCACACAAGAAAAAAAATTGACTAGATCTGGGATCACAGTAATTGATTATGATTAGCTGTCGGTGCGGCTATTGGCTGAAATCCTCGGCCAAGAAACGAAGCCTAAAGCACGCCAGGCTTCAGTACAAAGGGTACATCCACAGAGATCAAGTGCACAGAAACAGATTAGCTGGAAGCTAGAACAGTGGTCTTTTTCAAGGGAAAACGCGAAATGTACACTACCGCTTCCCCGCATCCATTTACATTAGTGGGCGTTCTAGGCTGCAGGTTCCCTGCATCGATATCGCGCGTTATTTCAAGTCCAGCCATGCTTTTTTGCTCTACTTTCTCTCCTCTTTCCTCTCCAATCGACTACGACCCATTTCTTGAAAAGTAGCCTGCCTTTTTCTCTTGCGCTTACTTTTTGATTTGCTGCAGTTACTGGTAAAATTCGCTAATTGGTTACGCTTTACTGTCCAGTCGAGAATTACTACTGGATGCCTATTCGCTAAAAGGGACACCAACCTTTTTGTGTGTTCTACAAAACTCTATCTTGTTCTAAAAGAGTTTTCACACACTTTCTCTCCTTCTCTCTACGGCTCCCCTCTTACTAGTTATATGCATTTCTTGTTATCATCATCGATACAACTAGGGTCAAAGCAACGGCAAAAGGAGGACCATTGGCGTAACCGGATAAATATCAGCAGGGATAATTAGGTTGTGAATAATATCTAACAAGGTCTCGCACAATTTTCCAACAGCATACATGGCTGGCCAAACAAGCATATCAATGGGCTCAATGCCATTGGGCGATCCGCTATTATCACAAGGTAGCGGAGGGGGAGATGAGCGGCAATCATCGTCAGAGACAATCAACAGACCAAAACGCCTACAGGTTAAAAACGCATGTGTGAATTGCCAAAAGGCATGCAAAAAATGCGATGAGTCAAGGCCGTGCCAGAGATGTATCAAATACAATTTACAGGACACTTGTGTAGACTCAAAACGCAAGCCAAGAAAACGCGGTGTGAAAAGAGGCCCCTATAAGAAGCGAAAGAAGAATCCGCCGCAAGGTGAGGATGAAGAAGACGAAACAGAAACAACAGCGCCATCAACTCCAGGAAGCTTTACAATACAGCAGCAGCAGCAGCAGCAACGACGAAAACGTGCTCCTAAAATACTGGGTCCCGGCTCGATACCTATTTTACATAATGACAGTGACGATAATCACGACGGTGGTGGCTCTAATCCACATGCCAGTAGCAGCTCTCGCACACTTCCCTCGTTTTTATTACACGTGTGCACCCAGCCTGTGCGGCTGCCTCCTATTGAATCATTTGACCTTGCTCAGTCACAGCAATCCCCACCCACAACAAGCTCTTTATCTATACTAACCGAGGTAGCATTAGGCAGACCGCCACAACCACAACAAAGCAGCCCACCTGAGAACGACGAACAGCAGCAGTCTCTATCTGGTGCTCGTTCTCAACACTATTCTGCCCAAACGTCAAAAGACGGAGGCGATCCTGGTTCCACTATGGATAATGATACAAACCAGCCTGCTGAGGTAGACAACTCAAGTGTTGAGAGGACTCTATCCAAGCGTTTGCACGACTCACACATAAACCAAAGCTCCTAAATTGTTTCATTTTCGCTAGTACTTGTATATATTAAACCTAGACTTTTTAGGTCCCAGCCGAAAAGACACTAGGCTGAGTTGGGGTTGTGTGG